AGAAGAGAGTTGAATAGGGGTGGTTTATGAGTCAAAGAGGAACAGGTGAGGATGGGTGACCTGGACCACTTGTATTCTCTTCAGTACACACACACACACACACACACACACACACACACACACACACACACACACACACACACACACACACACACACACACACACACGCACACACACACAAACAGGCATCCCACATGTGAAGGCAGGCATGCTGTTGCCTTTGAAGGGGCCCAGCCTCCTCCAACTGTCCCATGCATGCTTGAGTGATGTCAACACGGCTGTGGAAAGATTCCTTTCCTGTCACACACACACACACACACACACACACACACACACACACACACACACACACACACACACACACACACCTTAACCCTCGGAAGGCTGCTGTTGGAAGATGTACGTTAGAGTCTTGATTGGTGGACACCCAGAGCTCTGTAATTCAACCAATAATAAATCAGTTTCTCAGTCAATGAGATTGGCTGAATTTGACAGTTGACACACACACACACACACACACACACACACACACACACACACACACACACACCCCCCACTAACTTTTGTTATCACACACAGTCTCTTTTCACACAAACACACCTTGCCTTTTACTGCTTTCTCAGACAAATCCACACACACACTGTAGCTTGCATAACACACTCTCAGTCTGACTTTCTTCCTCTCTCTTTCTCTCTCACACACAGAGCGACACACACTTGGCAGGATGTGCGGGGAGAAAAAGGGGCCGAAAGACAACACCGAGATTAGGAGGCTTTTGTCACGGCTCTGTGGCAGACTTTAAAGGCCTTGGCTCCCTTCCCCTCTGCCAGATTTCTTTCTTTTCTCACCCTGTCTGTCCACATCCCTCTCTTTTCACGGTAGTGGTGGTGGTGGGGGGCGGGAGGTAAACATTTGGTATGGAGAGACGGAGAAAGGGAGGAAGGGTGGAAGGGAGGGATGGGTGGGAGAAGGATGGAAGCCGCCTGTTGCCCCCTTTTAGCCTCTTTTTTTGTGTTTTTGTTTTCCTAGTTTTAATGGCAGCTTTGTGGCTGTGTGGAGGATGAGTGGGGAGAGGGAGAGGTATGCAAACATAACAGTGCTTCAATGCCAGCCAGGTGTCTGTGTTGTTCCCCATCTGTGTGTATGTGAGTGTGCGCCATGCAATCTGTGCTTTTGTGCGTGTGCAAACCTCCGTGTGTAGCTGTAGGCACACGTCGCAGATACATTTTCAGCCTCTTTTCCGGGCGAGTGTGTGTATGTATCGTTATCTGTCGGGTTTCTATGAGTAGATGTGTGTTGTGTTTTTTTTCCCCCAGGTGCACGTCTGTGTGAGCCCTTCATGGTCACTGACTCCATTCACCTGAGACGTCCTTTCACAGTGAAAAGGCAGTTGCCGGTAAAAAGCTCTTTGGACAGCTTCCCTTCATCACCAACCACAGCTGCTGTTGACTCAAGCACCCAGGAATCTCCTCCATGGGTTCACACCCTTTTTAGCCAACCAACCGCACACCAGAACCCACTCTGTGAGAGAGCAAAAGGTCCCGCAAGACCTCAAGGTCCAAAGGATTAAACATTTGCTCTGGCAATGGACTAGATTTTGTTGAACACAGCCATCTCCTTGACCAAAGGAAGTGTGGCTGCAATAGAGAAGAGTGCCCATAACTGTGATGGTTTACTTGTTCAAAAATAAATGGTGGTAGTAGTGTGCTCACCGGCTAGAGCAGCAAGCAAGGGATCCAACACCCAGAGAACACTGGACTTGCAAATCTACATTTTTACCTTTGTCTCTTTGGTGTCTATTGATATATGGTAATTACACACACACCTCATTATTTCTGGTATTTGTAGTTCAAATTGTTGTGTCTCTGTGTCAAACAACCAGAAAACACTCGTAAAACACTTTTAAATTGCTGTATTAAACACGTAATGAGGGTTTATGTCAAAAGAAAAGAAAAGAAAACAGTGAACTCAACCCAACAAAGGATTGATCCTTCATCTCAACAGCTCAGGAATGTCTTCGGTCAATTCACACCCTCCTGCTCATCCACACAGCGGCTCACGATAGAGCACATTTTTCCTTCATGAAAAATCTTTTTTTGTAAACCTTTTTACCTTTAGTTAAGGCATCTCTCTGCCAGACAACAACAATAATCAACATTTCTTCTGTTCAGATTACTCTATAATATCCCTGTTGACAGAGGGAGGAAGGGTTCCAGTAGATTCGCACTTGTCAGCTAAACCAACAATAGCTTTACTGGAAGTCTACCAGTGAGAAAAAGGCAGTTTACAAAATGTGAAGGCTACATGTGCCTTCCAGGTTAACCTATAGACAATCTGCACTGACGTTTGGTGCCATGTGAACTCAAAAGAAAGAACTAGCTCAAGATTCACCTTTAAAACTGAACAGTTCGAGGATGTCTGACAATGGATTCATATTTATTTACAACATCAGCTACATATTAGAATCCTTTAAAAATAAAAAAAACTGTTTGTAATTAAACAACACATCTCGTGAAATTACCCACAGTCGACTTAAAGCTCACATTAATTCCATTGTGGATCAGTCAACAATGCTTTTGGTATTGATTTGGAAGGTCACTTTCAATACCCGCAGGTATGTTTTAACAGGAAAACATCTGCTCTTTTGTGTAACAGGACTCTTCATGTGTTTATTATTGTAAGACATTTACTGTATGTTGACTTCTTGGCCTGACCTCTCTTAAAAAGGCTCATAATCTCACTGAGCCTTTCACCTGGTTAAACAAAGGTTAAATAAAACTACACAGTGGATGCTTCTGTGTGACTGACTGACCACATTATATTTTGTTTTTCTCTAAGAAATTGAAAGGCATTACTTGTTCGATTGTTCCTAAGTGAACAATTCTTTGATTCAAGTGTCCAAATGAAAAATCAAAGCAGAGACAGATGGGACCGAAGGTATCGGGCCTCTGTGACGTTTCCTCTTCCCATCCTGTTCTGCACATTTCTTTCCCCGCTGTTTGACACTTCCACACTCTTTCACTGATCTCCTCTCCATTTTCTCATCTCCTCTCATCACTGCAGAGCAGCAGTGAGCTCAACACATCTGTCAGCGGCTCCAGTCTGTGTCATCCTCCTCCTCCCTGCTCCTCTTCATCTTTTCCTCCTCTCGTCTCTGTCCTCCCCATCTTCCCCTCCACTAACTCTTCAAGTCAATCAAACTCACAGGAGATAACCAGGAACACAGAAAAGCAGGAAAAATACTAATCTCTGAGATAAGAGAAGAATGGGAGTTGAAGGTCAAGGATGGAAACAGCCTGGGAAAGTCATATATATCTTCCATCAGGACAGTTTTCTTCTGCTCTTATCTCACACTTAGAAAAATGTAGAATGTAAAATGTCCTTCACAGTTTTAAATCTAACACTTCTGCTATTTATTTATTACTAGTAAAGCTTACCAGATGCATAGAAATCCACATGATCCAGGATTTGTAAATGCCTGGGTTAGGTCACGTAGTCATGAGTAACTGTTGACTTTGCAAACATTTCAAAACCGCAGATTCCTGTGAGATGATTTGCTTCTTTGTATATTTTCAGTGTTTCATTTCTAAAACTTCCCCACACACCCCACACACACACACACACACACACACACACACACACACACACACACACACACACACACACACACACACACACACACACACACAGGGGTCATGTCCATTTTATGTGATGTCTGATCCAATTTAAATGAAATGTAGGGAAACAAGGAAGGCAAAGCAATTATAGGGTAGATTTTGGGGATGTTTCATTTTGCTGTTTTTTGCTGTGAAACTCTGAAATGTAATATTCAAATCAAAATTCTCTTCTAATTCTAGCAAATTCATAATGGCATTTTAATATAAATAAATGCCTGTTAGCTACCCATAATTTACTATTACAGTGCAATAACTTCACTGACTGAATTTAACCTTTATTGATTTTAATACATCACATACATTTTTTCACCTTGGAATAATCAGTGGAAGATTTTGGTGGACATCTGTTGAACCAATGGATTACTGTACAGGGTCAGGGGCACCTCAGCCAAAGCTTCACTTTTTATAATAAAAACGCATCAAATAACTACACATAAAGTGAAAGGAGTTGTTCCTAATGACAAACCCACAGAGACTACATCTGACTGCAATTCCCCCTCAGCACTATGGTGCGTTCTTTCAGCTCTTTTTTAAAAACTTGTTGGTTACTTTTACTGTTTCCAGGCACTGTACACTACCTGCTGATAAAAACAGCTCATAGGAGATATTTGCACAAAAACATAACTCTAAATTAATGTTAATGTCGGCTGGATGTGTAAACTGGTAACTGTTTGCTAACGTGTTAGCCACATCTACTTTAGAATTTATCAATGTTAATATTTAGTCTGTTGCTTGTTCTGCTGCCCCCAAGTGGCCAAAAAATGCACTAAAATGATTTTTGTTACGTCAAAGAGCTAATTCAAAGATAGGGATGCGCTGCGCTGTGACCAATTCGAGAGCGCCACCTACAGATGCTCAACTTCGGCAGCACAAAGGCTAAAGATGTTTCAGTCTCTAAGAAGAAAGAACATGTTACTAAAAACCTGGCGAACTTAAAGAATACCATTTTAAGTCGTTTATTTTACTTATTCTGTTCCCATGCCCTGCCCTGTTGCCACCTCCACCCCTTTGCAGTGCCTCATCCTTTCAACAGTGTTTTCTTTCATCATCTTCTTCCTTTAATGAGTCAGAGAGGGAAAGAGATGCTGGGCCTTCACACCCTCCATCTGCACGCACCGCATGTCCATCTGTCATCTCCGCAGACAGTCACGTTGACAGATGAAACAAATCACAATTGAAGGGCTACAACTATTTAGAGGACATTCACTTAAAGACAGTCCCATGGTACAGTGAGGTATTGTACACCACTGGACAAGAATCTCTTCTGTGAGGCAACACAGAGAGAGACCGACCTGAAGGAAAAAACTACTGAAAAGACAATGATAGATTTGACTTTTTTAATGGCACCAATAACATGATTACAATGGGAGAAAACAAAATTTTATCCTAAATGACAATAGCCTGTACAAGATTGTCGATACAAAGATTATCGATAAAATTTCGTATATTCCGTCCGAACGTATAAATACAGTATCTTACAATGACATGAACATGGTATTTGCTACATAGCTTACATTACTACTATAACACAAAATCCACTCATGCAGTATAATGCCCAATTATATGAAGAAAAAACATGTTTAAAAGAAAATAAATTAGACACCTTTCTTTTTGAATATTGAGACAATTTAGCATTTATAATGTTTTGTGGGCCAATGTGTTGCTAGAGCTACTGAATGGTCCAAGGCTTTCTCACTAAATTATCTAAAAGTATAATCTCAACACTAATGTCATCCCATGTACATGCTAGTGGTAAGGGCACATATACACAGTCTGTCTACTGGCAGTCCATTAGCTTTGACACAAAAAAACTGGGATTAACGTGAAATGAATGAAAACAGGTAACCCAAGTGACGAGAGTTTTCACAGAAAAACTTGACTGAGGAAAACTTTACTGTTTGGAAACTTTTTCCGCCCCTAAAACATGGGAAGAAAAACTTTACAATGAAGGAACACCAGCTGTTCGGGGTGACTTTGTCAACAGATGTTTGAAAACAGAAAAGATGGGAGGACAAGAAGAACGCATGTTGAAGGGAGAGCTATTAATGCAAGACCTATTTTCAGTTCAAGCTGTTTGTAGAGAGGAAAATAAATGAACATGTGTCTCTGTTTGGAATTGTACCATAATTATTATGATAAGCGTATTCTTTGCTGTTCTGATGTACTTTCATTTGAACTTTACATGTATTTCAATTGGTATATAGGAGAGAGGGCGCTCTGGTGGAAAGATGAACAATAAATACAATATGGTCACAGGCTGTTAAATAATTTTGTGAAATTGTTTGTGCAGGTATACAGATGTGGCTCCTATTATCTGAGGGCTGCATGTTTTGTCTTTCTTAAAAGTCTTCAGAAAGTGAGATAATACAAAAACAAAATCTCTGTAAGGGATTCAAAATAAGCAAAGAAAGAGAGGCCTGACTGGTAGTTAGAGTCAAAGCTCTGGTCTACACACCCACACTTAAACACACAACATACCAGTGAGTATTACAAAAAAAATGCATATGTGAGTCATGTGAATCATTTTGTACATTTTCCTAATTAGGTTTAGAGATTTGTGCAAAAATACAGACTAAGGATCGAGCACGTGTGCATCCAAAGTTATCAAGTGATTTCAATTTATCACTTCCTGTCACATGGTTGTTGAAACACACCCTTGTAAAGGTTGTAAAGTTGTTTAAACATCTCCGGACAGAGTCACCTCACTGAGTGTGCCTTCAGAGATTGCTGTAATGTAAAACAGATGAAATGTAAATCTTAGCTTAGCATATCATTCTACACAGTTTTTATTTAGTGGTCAGATTCACACACAGGAACAACAAGATGGACACCTGAGAAACAGCAAAAGAAAGTCTGTTGTACAGTAACTGGGAGGGTTTGTAGGGGCTAGTTTCTGATGAGGTTTGGGTCAATAGCAGCGTTTCCACCACACCAACTTTCCCCAGAGGACTAACTTTGGAGGAACTCAGTGTGTTTCCACCACAGGGACCGGGGTCTAAAATAAGTTCTGGGGCCATTATTTTACCCCCTAAAAAGTCCCTGTTCGGGGGTGGGAGTACTTTTCAAAAATACAGGAAGCATCCGACAGATGGACCAATGACATTGACGTTGTTTTTTATGTTTAATTGTTAAGTTGTGGACACTGTATATGAATCCGCATGGTCTCTTTCATGGAAACATGGCTGATGTAAGTGATTTTATCACGTTCTAGTGTGAGGAAATTTCTTAATACTTACCAGAAGCAGTGAAAACACACATGCGACAATAACAAAGTCATTGAAATACATAAGCAAACCAAGCAACAAGAAAAGATGGAAATCAGTCAAAACCAATACTACATTGCTACTAGTTTGGCAGATAACTTTGATGCTTCAGTAGCTGCAGTTTTAAAAGGAATCTTTAGATTTTGGATTTTTAGTGCTAGTGAAAAGAACAAGATCATCACCTAGTAAATGTGACCTTAATCTCACATCCACTCTGTTCAATTTGAGCTTACAGTGGCTTTGAAAACAGCTGATTCTGGGATAATTTATATAGTGCATGAATTGCTTTACTCATAGCAGCTGCTGGTGAACTCATTGATGAAAGGCCCTGGAGAGCCACACAGGTGTTTTCAGTTAATCTGGTTGATGATACCTCTCCTCAGGAGGAGCAATGTTGGGAATTACCCCAATGTTTACCAATCTATGAATGAGAAAGATACAGTTGTACATTGTCTTACACTAAAAGGTGCAACAAAACTACACGAGAGTGAGGGAAATCTTAATCAGACGCACTTTGTACACATCCACACAGTCCTGAGAGGAAGTCTAATCTGCTAAAAGGTGTGAAAACACCTTTGGAGGTGTACCATGGTACCAAGTTTTGGATGTTTAGGTTTTCTTAAAGTGGTCAATAAAATTTGTGGTAAATATGCAGATACGTGAATAATATATGCAGAACCAAATATCCCAGACATATCTCTGAATGTATCAATGTATATCTTTGCCACTGTACAGCAATAAGAGCAGTTTGTGGGGTTTTGTCAGTGGGTATTGCTATAGTAATAAAAATAACTTTTGCACATTATATGGCTCTAAATGTTAGTGATAAAAATACTGATATTTGATTCCCATTATTTTACCTTTTTTAGCATCTAGAATCTCTTGACTGCAACATCTTCCATTCTCTTGATCAGAGTGACAGAGGGCTCTACGGGTGAGAAGGCAGCCCTTCATCCAAAACCTTTCCTCTTCAGATAAAACAACAACAACATGAGTGCCTCTGCTCTGTAACAACACCATGTGTGCAGAACAGATCACATGCAAAACCTGTTCCATTACACTTGAGGTCATATTGTGAGGTGCTTTGAGTTGAGGGCTCATCCTTGAGTTAGAATTTAGGATGAAGTTCCTCTCTTGAAAGCCCTCTAAATCTCATCACAGATTAACAAGAATCTGTGACATATCCAATAGTGCAACGGTGATCCACAAAATCTGGAAACAATTCTCAGACGGCACCATTTTACACAGAGGCACTGACGTTCAGCCCTTTGTGCTGTTGGCTAAAGAGGTTGAACGGATGACATGAGGAGAACTGATATCCTTAATCCCTCTCTTGCGAAGTCATTGAGCGTCAATCAAAACTGAAAAAAAGACGACGCAAAACAGGAAATGCCACTGTTCTCCGGGAAGTAAAGGGGTAGAAACTGTCAGTAGATGTGCTTTTGGAGGGGCTCCTTGGCTGTAGCAGGAATCGCACTGTAGCTGCTGCTAAAATCAGTCTACTAAGAGAGATCCATGCTGTTCGGGTAACCCAGTTCGACATCAGCTCTTTAGTACCCTGATAGCAGCTGAACCCGGGAGAAGCAAAAACCAGAAGCCGTCATCCTTCCCGAGGGTGTGGATACAGTGGGAGTTTGTCCTGACTTGCGTTTCTTATGGCTCAGTTGGGCTATTGAAATTATGCTATTACATTAATCACATGTTATATTATTCTTTATAGATTACCCAGGATGAAGTAGTGTGCTAAATGCCTTATAATTGTATTCCAAAATATACATGAGTAGTTATAGTTGGAGGCTTGTAGTGGAGGCAAGTTGTATTTCTACTGTTACTGAGGAGGTTGTGGTTGTGTCCAAAGGACTAAAAGACAGAGAATTGTTGTGTTAAGTTACCTTGAAGCTGCAGAGTTCATTGTGGCTTCAAATAAGGCTTTTGGGCAACAAAAGAGGAGATTTAAAAATCTACAGAAAAGATTTTATATATATAAAGGTTTGAAAAAAACATATTTTCGGATTATTTCTCTCATAGATTTCACTGGATTGTCCTCCAGATTGGCTAAAAATAAGGATCTTTGTCTTCTTTCTTTACATTCTTCATTGTTTGTGTCTTGAATAAGTCCGTTTACACAATAACGTGGCTGCAGCAGAATGAGCAAGAGCAAGCGTTGCGTGATCACATGTTTCTGTATATGAATCCGCATGGTCTCTTGTGTGTAGCTTTCTTTGTTCTTTGCTCTGTATGTCAGCAGTTAGTTATGAACTGTTGTGAATGAGTCTGCATGCACAGGAACATGTTCGTGTAAGAGTTGAACGTGAAACACCGAAGCGTGCTGCTAGCCTCGCTGCTAACACTGGTAGTGAATGTGCTGGTGTTGGTGTACTTTCCCGTCCACGTGTGAATGCGTGTGTGTGTGTATATCCGTGTAGATCTTTGGGTAGACCTTAGGAGCCAATCCAGCGCCTCCCTGAGCCAGAAGCAGCTGCTGGTGGGCAATGTAGTCCTCATATGAAAGACAATCTTTATCCCCGCTGGCCGGTTGAGGAGGCACCGTCGGGCAGGCTCGGTCACGATTTGCTGCAGGTAGACGCTGGGCGGCAGGAAGAGCAGAGGAGGAGGAAGAGGAAGAGGAGCAGGTGCGTTTGGATTGGCAGAACCAGAGAAGGGCGGTGCCTAAGATGAAGGCGACGCCTGCTGGTATTCCTATAATGACGGGCCAGGGGAGGCCTGGGGACGTTGCTGTGGGGACAGAGTTGCTTTGGGGCTTTAGATCTGTGAAAGAGCGAGAGATGAGTAAATTAACGAAAGGAAAAACATGGTGGGTTGAGCATGCTGCCAGTGATGGAAACAGACTAGTTATCTTAAGATGCTGTTAGCCAGTTATTGTAAGATAGCATGTTGTTAGCTGATGGTGATATTATGCTTTATTGCTTGCAAAGGTGAGGTAAATGAGGAAGACTGTTTATTTTGATTGGTGGCTCATAAAGCATATAAGCCTGACATGTTGTTACCATGTTGTTGTTAACTGATTGTGTTAGCTGGTGCTGTTACAGACAGGCACCCAGTGGAGTACAATGGTTTATTGATAATTTTGCCACTATTATATATCAAATTAAAAATGTATGAAATATTGAAATGTGTCTTATAAAGGCTAGCACTAGTAGAGTCTAGTTTTTTTATGTAACTGGTAGCAACTTCAAACAACCAATCAAACCTGCTTGTCAAGTATCTTCCTCTATTGTAAACCAGAGAGAAAATTACACATGATTATATACAATTTTCTGTGTGTGCACATTGCTCTCTCTTTCTTTCTCTGACCTGGTAGCACCGTCAGGTAGGCACTCCTGAAGCTGTAGCCCATAGTATTGGCTCCTAGGCAGATGTACATGCCAGCATCCTCCTCCTTGGCTCTGGTTATCAGCAGCTTGTTGAGGTAGGATCCGTCAGGACGTGACCAAACTTCCCCTGTAGGCAGGACCACAAAGCGGTGGTCTCCAACCTTTGAATAAAATCATACAAATTATGAGTTTATTGAAAAATTCAGACATATATCACTAGTTAACTTGCTGCAGAGAATTTGGTTTACATGTGTGTGTTTGTACCTCTATGGTGGAGTTAAATTTGTTTTCATCACCAGGTTCAACTCTTTTAAGCCACTGAATGACTGGCTTGACATCGCTGCGGACTTTACACTGGAAGGACGTGGTTCCTCCATAGTCCACGGTGGTGTTGACAGGGTGAGTTCCAGTCAGAATGGGTTTAGAGTTGGTACGCTCTGCAGAAAGAGACACAGACACAGAAAGTATATTTAATATTAATTCCATTTCAGTTGACAAACAAATTTAGCTGTAATCAGAATTAAAATCCGGAGAAAAGCACAGTGAGAAATGAGTCTATACTCTGTTTATTAAATGCAGCCCTGAGAGACCATAATATGGTTTACAAGCATTATCTACAGTGTCTGCTGTATTCAGCACCACATCCGCCGTCTTTGCTGAAGATACACAAACAGATTCCTTATGTTCAGCTCCTGCCTTTTCTTTCTCTGTTTATGCATCAGAATAAACACACCTGCCAGAGAAGTCTCCTTTTCAGTATCTGGTACAATACAATCTCACAAGAATGTAACCCAAGTATAGGAAGTTGTTTTTTTTTTACCCCAGTTTGACACCAGCTTTTTTGAAACCTTTCTCTTAAACAGAATTAAAGGAATTCTCAGTTTTACCTGTGTTAAAGGATTAATACATTCAAGGTGGAAAGAACTATAGTTTCCAAACTTTCTCTGAGGCTCATGTGGTGATGTGGAAATGTTGAGGTGTATGTTTTACTTTAGAAATAGGTTTGGAACACTTAGCAGTGGGAACTTTCAATGCATGTTACAGACAGTGATGCACAGGTCAAGAGTTTCGGGTGCTATAAGTTAAATTATTTAAACTAAGATGTGTTAATGTAGTCACAGCACGTCCCGAAGGCATCTGGTAAGCATGGCTACCTACAATGAAATGCAAAGAAACCTCACACACAAACAAAACTGCCAGAACTCATTCAGCTAACACATGGAAAGACAAGTAAAAAACAAAGTTGTTTGCTTGTTGTCTTACGGACAGACCTGACAAAGCATGAATTCAGACTTTTTACAAATAGGCATCATGATGTAGTTATTTTGGCATCCTTTTGATCCCTTTATTGCAATTACATCAGAGCAATATCTGTTTATTTTGGGTCCATAGTGCTGTAGTAAGTAGGTTCAGCAGTTCATAGTTACTGGCGCGAGTATTGCGAATAAACACAAATGAGATGAGAGAGGAGGAGATTAAATTAAGCCCCCTATTTTTTTGGAGCATGTGGCCAGGAATTGAACCAACAATTATTCTTTTAGGGGGTAAGGCAATGTTCAAGAGGGATGCAGAAAAAAGGATTCCTAGTAAGGCAGGTGCAGACCCATTCCAACCAGATACATGATCATATCTAAGAATTACGTTCCTGATGTACTATATTCAACATCTCTATTTATGGATGTTTTGTGACGGCTTTACTGGTTTTCTGTCCTGGACTCCCTTTTTTTCTAGTTTTCTTTCTAACAGCTGTGAATGACTGACAGCTGAGTGAATCTCTACTGATCGAGAAAATGTCACATTTGACAGACGCGAGCAGTGGTTTGATTTACTTCCTTTCTGTTTGTGTGTGCGTGTGTGTGCGTAAGTGTCGTTCAGGAAAGACTACAGCTGTACTTTAATGTACAACAGATGTGTCGAGTAAAGTGAGAGGAGCTAGTCTGAGGCTCTCAACAGAGCTATCACATTCAGTAACAGTACAGTTGCAGTGCGCACACACAAATTAAGCCTCACCAAACAACTTAACATTAAATCATTCAGCACTGAAAACAGCTTTTGCAGCCTTCCAACACAACCTAATACATCAGAAAACACTCAGAACTCATCATAACACACATTCTGCTTTCAACAGTAAAACTAGACCTTTTTTAGACTGAAACTGCAGCTGGGTTCCCGTCCAAACTGAAAAACCTGCTGAACATTCCTTGCTCGCTTGACTTATGTTTACTGACGAGCCTGGTGGTGATCAATAAATGCCACTGAAGTGAAAGGACCCTTTTAAAAGCAACTTTTGGTGCAGTGCATTATATACTCTTCCTGTGGTGGAAATGTGTGAATCCAATTCAATAATTGTGCGAATTCAACCTGAATAAGACAAATTCCACAACATTTGCCATGAAAATGACGCCATGATTTGGTGTAGATAAACACTTTTAACATAACATATTAAATGGTATGAGAGAAACCTGCTGATCACTCTCCACGCCTTTCTCTCTTATAACAAGATGGAAATGTGTACTCAGGTCCTCCAAACAGAATAAGCAGTGATCTCTTATGAAAGCAAAGACTGATCACTGGCATCAGACTCTTTGCCAGCAAATCATTTAAATAGTTGAAAAGTTAATTATGGTGTTCTCATATCATCTTAGACACTCTACATATTGTGAGTCAGAATGGAAACAAAACCCTTTGCAAACCCTGCTATTTAGTCAGACAGGCCTCTCAGTTAAACAATAATACATACACTGTGTACAGCATAATGTATGTTATTGTTTGGGTGAGAGACGTTCCTGCTGTTATAAGATATGCCACTATATCATATACCAGCAGCAACAACAACCACAGCTCCAAAAATGTGCTTTCTGATGTGTCACGGCATGAAATTACCACAATTTTTATATACATTACACATTTTACAGGCACATCTCTTAAAAGTAGTGCTGAAGCAATTAGTTGATGAATGCATTATTCATTTGACAATAAATAAACAGTGAAGAATTTGCTTTTTCCAACTGCTTCAACTTTTGCTGCTTTTCTCCATTTTCTGTAGCTGCAACTGCACCCCAACTTAAAAATAAAAAAGAAGACATCAGAGAGAGATGATTCATGCATGTGTCTAATGTTTGGATGGCAACATTTCAAATGGAAATCAGGAATTAAGAGTGCTATAATATCCTGTTGTCACATGACATTAACACATGACAAGCAGAAGTAAGATTACATGGGTGGAAAGCTATGTAGATGAACAAAGGTACTAATCTCTAACATTTAACACAGAGCTCACAAATGGTCACTGTGAAAAAGATAATAACCATTTCAGTAAGAATGCTCTCTATCTACCATCCATAATGTCTTTGTAATAAAGGTTTTAAGGACTGACTGACTGACATAACAATAATAACAACAAAGCTTCCTCCTTTCCACAAGTAAAAAAATAATAATCAAAAACTAAATAAAGACTAATTGTAATCTGAAAAGTAATAATTTGTTATTTTCTAGCCTTGTTTATAATGACATTAGCACTGGTTCAATCTCTGCTATCTTATTGAGGATGGTGGTACATTTTGGAGGTGGCATTGATCTGTCCTGCTCTGTTGGGAGACAACACTTCAGCTGGGCAGATTCTTCCAAACATTAACTCACGTATGACTTCCACTTTGTAGGTGGCATTGATCTCTCCCGCTTTATTGGAGACGTGGCAGGTGTACTTCCCGCTGTGCTCGGGCGTCAGGTTCTTCAGACTCAGAGTCCACTTCTTCTTCTTCCCTTCCTCTTCTCCCGCTCCTCCATCCTCGTCCACCAGCGGCCGGTTGTCCTTCAGCCAGACGATGTCAGGGCGAGGGTTGCCGCTTGCTGTACACTTCAGACGCACCGAGCTGCCCACTGGGCGAGCGATGACGCGCTTCCTCATCTTTGACGGCTGAGTGAAGCGTGGACGTACTGCGAGCGGAGAGAGGTCAAAAGGGAGAATTTAAAACTATAATTATAAAGACAGCACTGGAAAGTTCTATTGCTATTGGCTGCCTGCAGAACATGGGGGCTTAATGTTCAGTTACTTAAACTGCGTGGTTTAAGACAGACACACTCATGAACACTCTTCATGTCAGTCAGCTACAGATGGGAGAAAAAGAAGGGCGGACAGGAAAGGAAAGGAGAGAACAGAAGGTATTAGCAGAGATAAATGGTTTACAGAGCAGTTTTATATTTACAAGCAGTGTTCTGATCTTCAGACCAGTGGAAAGAGTCTTATGTGACTTTTATAAGACGTAAGGAGCTATCAAAGCCACGCAATCTGAAAAGGCTGTAACACAGAGAGAGTGTTGAGAAATGTTTGAAGCCTCATGAGCAACAGCTTTTGTTGGCTTATTACCTCCAGAAAAGTAACTATTTCTCACACAGATATTGTATGCATATTTGCTTGGCTTTATGAACTGTGTGTTGTTGCTTTCTTGTTGCTCCATCTGACGTTTTGTTGGTTGAACCCTTTATGCACACAGACATCTGCAGCAACTGTGATGCAATGTGATAACATTTTTTTGGCCCAGGGATATTCTGCACCGGTGCGTAATCTTCCACTACAAATCAGCTTCTTTGAAGTAAATAATAATCTGCATCTACACACAAGTACATTCATGCCTGATGGGAAAAAGGACTTCCTTGTAACATACTGACGTGTTTCTACAAACTTTGTAAACAAGCAGAATTGGGAACAAACTGAATCATCTCAATTTGCAGAGGTTTTTTTTTTCAGATTGAGTTAATTTTGGGGACTGAACACAAGACTTTGTAATGGACTTTTTTAGCTGTGTGAGGAGCGTCAAACAAACTGAGGTCATGGCCATAGGCATTGCCATGAATTCCATGTTGTGCTGTAACAACATATGGCAGCGTGACTCTTGGTATATACAACCTAATTTGCTGTAATAAACCTAATTGTTTTGTTTGAGAAAATGTTTGAATCACTTCCCCTTCTCCCCGAAAAGACTTACTCACATGACCGGGAACCTGCACACACGAACACATGCATATACACATACCAGATTCCTTATTTTCCACTGATTGTGCACCTCTGGCCCCAGGTTTGTACACTTCTGCTGCTCTTAAACTCAAATCATGCATCCATGAGATTCCTCTGTAGAACCCAGGAACTTGCTAAACAGCTATGTGACATCGCTGTAAATATCCGGTCATGAATGCATATCTATGCACAAGTCATAAAAAGCCAGACCGTGACTTAGCGTCACACCAAACATCCATTCATTCATGCAAATCCTGTCTTAGAAAGCATAAAATGGTTAGTTAACCCCATTCACCTATTCAAACATCCACATCCCTCCATGCAGTTGCATGACTGAACCAACCTTACCTAAACCCATCTTTTCATACACACATATCCCTCTTTAAAAAACACACATCAGTGAGCAGTGAAATCAGATCAAAGAGGAGAAATAACTATCCAGTAGGGAGGGAGGAGAGGAAATAATTCACAGGAGCGCTTGATTTTACAGCCCTCATGTTCTAGCCACAGCAGATAGCCATCAACCAGGGCGATAAATCACCCTGAAACTACAGCGGTTGCGTCTCTTTCTGTGGACACAGTTATTATTCTAGCTCTGGGTAAACAAACCGGGGGGAGAGTTATGTGACGGGTTTGCGCGCTCAAATGTGGAGATTTCACTACTGCTGCATTACTCAGCGGAATATAGTTCTGTGCTGACCGACAGGAAGCTGGGCAGGATGACAAAACAAACATACCCGAAAGGCTTTTAAGTCTCGCCTTTGCCCCCCTCCCCACCCCTGCGTCTAAGAAAAGCTACTGGACTACAGCTGAACTGTGACCAGACTGAGTCAATAGATCTACTAGAGAGTGAAGAAAGTATAGTGGAGGAGTAGAAGACAATGATTAATAGTTTACTGTTTTGGCAGTATCCTACTTTGATGATTACATAAATTAACTGCAGTGGCTTAGTCTGAAATTAATTGGAAAGAGGAGGGAAGAGCCAAAGCGCAAAGTGCAGCTGAACTGGATTGGATAAAGATGAGACTAGAGAATGAACAAAAAGCAGCACAGTGCAACAGAAATGAACTGATTTATATTGTCTAAGCTGAACCAAATCAAACAGAAGGTAAGGAGAAAACAGATGGACAGAGAAAGAGTGAAGTTCATATTAAGGTTAACACATACAGAGGACTGACAGATTGCTAAAAACAGACGAATAAAACTGGAGTGATGGCAGAGAAATTGAAAACAAAGAGAGTTAAAACAATAAAAAAGCAAAAGGTAAGAGAAAGGGCACAGAGGTAGAAAGAAAGAAAAACAGAGAGAGAGAGGGGAGAAGTGAGGGCGAACAGACCTAGCAGTGATATAGAGAGAGGGAAGAGGGGAGAAGGTGAGTGCCAGAACGGGCGAAAGGGCAGGCTTGTTCAGGGTCTCAAGGGCCACTTCAACGCCACACTTAACAGTGTAAAAATACTGCTGACCCTCCGACTGACCACCTTTGATCAGACAGTGCGCCAGAGACAGAGGGAGGGGGAGAAAAAGAGAGACTTATGATTTCTCACTTGGATTGTGAGATGGAAAAGATTTTTGATATACTGAGGCAATTTTGGATTAACTAGAGTTTAGTAATTCAGGTGGGGAGTTTAGTGTTAATATTAGACTTAGGATTTCATTTATTTGATGTTTATGGTGAAGGATGGTTTAGGTCAGGATTTGGACTTGTCTTAGGCTCGAACACAGTCTACATGTTTTGATTGAGTTAGATGAGAAGATTGATGCCACTCTCATGTCCGTGCATTATGTATAGAGCGAGCAGCCAGCAGGTAGTTAGCCTAGTTTAACACATAACTGCCCATAAAACTACAAACTGCTATTTCAACATGGCTGTTGTGTATGGATTAAACAAATTAGATAGAGATGTCTCCAGATGTCTCTATCTGTAGATAAAAACGTCTCATTCTTATTTCCAGGTGATTGTACATTAATGACAACATACCTATAAATATTATATTCCAATTCTGCCAATAGATCCTCCTGAATGTTACACACTGGACCTTCAACTCTCAGATGTGAGAGTGGTATTGATCTTCTCATCTAACTCTTGGCAAGAAAGGGAATAAGCAGATTTTCCAAAAAGACAAACTATTTCTTCTAAAGGTTGAATTTACACACAATGTTGTTGAAGATGTATCTGTACATTTAACAATGAAATACAATCCAGATCCAGTTGGAGAAACATGTTAATGCATTTAAAGACTTCTCAAACACCAAAACACTGCACAATGGTCATCAACAGGATTTTACAACTCCAGACCACCGCAATAATTTGTATCTTTCGTTGCAATGATCACAAGGTAAACAGCTAAATACACTGTTCACGTTATGTCATCTACTTGATTGGCCACCTTGATGGATGATCTTACAGTGAAAGTTGAGTGAGGATCAACTTTTTTACAGCCCGCTGCATTGCTGTACTGACCTCATTCAAATATATAGGGGGCTAAAGTTGGTTTGAAGGCGACATTAGCCAAAGCAGTGACTGTGTACGTTTGGTTGTGTGTGAGCACAGAGATGCAAACAGATAAAGAGAAAGAATGTGTGTGAAATAACAAAGAGAGAGTAAATGTTTGTTGACATCGTCGTGTGAGAGAGGAAGAGAGGGAGAAGGGAAAGGTGAGAGAGTTGGATAAAAGGAAAACAACTAGCAAATAAAGAAGGGTTAAATTACGTGACAAGGGGACCAGGGAGACTTAAGGGGAGGGGGGGAGGAATGTGTCCCACCAAATCACACCTCACACAAATAGACTGCTCTCCACTCTGTCAGAGCCAATTATCAGAGCAAACAACCCCCCTGATGTGTGCCTGTGTGTATTTATGTGCCTGTGTGTGGGCATACACCCTCACCTTCTCCCCTCTGATAGTGTGCGAGGTGTTTATTGTACAATCTGCTACCGTACTTTTTAAAATGTTACACACTCTCAGCTATCTAAAGTGTCACCTCTAGGCCTCCTTCTCGTTTTTAAAATGCTTGTGTGCCTGCAGTGATGTGTTCAGAAAGTGGTTACCCAGTTTTCCAGCCAAGTCTGGGGCATGTTCAGAGTCACTCCTGGCTGTTCCTGCTTCACCTCTTGAACCGGAGTCATCTGTTGAGGGAGAGAGACAGACAAGAAGCGCATCATTAGTAGATTGTCAGCTAATGAATAGTGGATAACGAGTAATACTTTGCAAAGACACCTGATGCAAAACAAATAACATGAGTGAAAGGGAGTTAAGAGGATTTTTTCTGTTTTCTGTCAGCACCTGACAGTTGTTTTATGTGATGCAGCCGATCATGATGTATGATTGTTTGTAACATAAATCTAAGATATCAGTGATACATTGCTCTACTCTTTGTATTGGATGCAGATGAAGCATCGCTGTTATAAACTGTTTAAAATACTTATACCTTACAGTAAGGACAGCAGTAAAAGTAGGAAAACATTAGCCGATAGAAAAGCAGGCGTATGGCAGGGAGTGGCAGGTAAAGTCGGGTCACAGCGGGTCAACAGGTGACACTGAGGCGTTACAGCTCACAGGACTGAAGCCACGTACACGTACAGAGACTATTGGCTTTCAAAAACGTACTTTCCATCCAGTACTGAAATGACAAATCATATGATATGTCTGTCCATTAGTGTGACTGTGCCAGAGACTCGTTGCTACTGCATGTCACGGGTTAAGAAAGCTCTAAAATTATTCCTGCAAGCATTCCACTACCCTTAATCATAAAATCATTCATTCCTGAGTCATGCCACTGAGAGAGCATGACCATAAATATGTGCCTTAAACATATAAAAAGAGGGAGAAAAGTTTTCCCAAAATTGACTTTCGGGGAAAAATAACAGGGTGCACAGAGCTAATTCTTTTTCACACACTTTCATACTGTATGTGCCGATATCGTCTACAGTATCATGTTGCTTTTACTCTCACGCTGGCATATCAGTTTCACTCCCTCAGCATGTCTTCCCACATCTATTATCAAAAAGATACAAACATCTGTCTGGACCTTCACGCTAGGAACCGCTTCAAGATGGAACCAATGTAACTGAGGGGCCCTTTAACAGGGAGGTGGGGAGGGCTGATACAGTGCAATATCAGGTCTGTCAAAATACATGTGGGGGGGGGGGTTGTGTGCGGTTAACTTGGCTCAAACCCGAAACTTCAACCAAAACCTGATGGTAGTTATGCAAAGAAAGAAAAAGGAACCAAACAGCCTTGGACCACCTGCAGGAAATACATGAGAGTGCGTGCGTAATTGTAAATGGATATGTTTATCGTGCATGTTGGTACATATTCTGATCTGTGGGTGGATTTTAGAAGACCACCTGAAAGTTCGGAGTGTTTAATGCAGCGCCAAATGTCTTTAAAGCATCACTATTTGGATGATGGAATGTAAGACGCATTTGAAATGCAAATAGGAGGCATGACCTGCATCCTCGGGGCTGGTATTAATAGCATACTGGCAGTCCGTGTGGCGCAGACCCTGTATGTGTGTGTGTTTGTGTGATATGAATTCCTATATGGGTGTGTCAGTGCATGTGTGGGTGTGTGTGTTCTGACGTTATTTAACTAAGTGGTAACTTGAGGTGGTGGTATTCCCGTTGCACCTCACTCCCCCTTCCCTCCCTATGACTCCCCCTTCATCCCTCCCTCCTGCCACATGCACGGCGTGTTCTGAGAAAGGGCAGCGTGTTTGAAGCCGGGCGGCACGGGGGTCTGATCTGAAGGGGGAACATGGTTTAGCACTCTCAACAGCTAGAAAACCCTCCCCCAGGCCTGGTGCGAGACTGTAAACCTTACTTGGCAGACCTCCTACAGACCCAATCACAGAGGGGGTCCTGGAACACTTCCACTGTCCATACAGTGCAGCCATACATCCAAAAGTATCAAAGTATTTCCCAAATTTAAAACATCTATATGCCTATGTATAGCAGCTGTGTATTGTGACACTGATGTAGAGACAAATCAGCAACAGAAAATCTGCCAGTGCATGTGTTTGGATTAACAATATAAACTATACATACACTTATAGTTTTCAGATAGAGGTAACATAAAGAGCTACACAGTATGAAAAGTTACATGTTCTCTACCCTGGCACTATGTGCAATTGGATTACTATAGTGTGGAAAGTGTGTACATCACATACCTAGAAGTACATTTATTGGAATAATCGGTCCTTCTTTCTTTAGATCCCAATGTAGTTATTTCAAAGCATGGTCTTATCTGTTAATCACAGAACTATACAGAGTTTACCTACTACTTGGATGTGTAATAATGTCCCATATACAAAAGCCTTTTTATATTGTGTCTGTCTCCATCTTTGTCTTTATCTGAGTGCTAGAAGTTCAATTCAATTCAATTCAATTCTATTTATTCGTATATTGCCAAATAACAGAATAACAAAAGTTATCTCAGGACACTTTTGACATAGAGCAGGTCCAGAGCAGAACAACCCTCTTTATAATATTCTTTACAGAGAACCAACAATGATGTGGATTTGTTTATATAAGTATAAATATCTGATTCTGCCTTAAAAGATTCAATGTCAATCGTTATACTCTTGTACACAAGTTAGTCGCCCCAGTGTCCTGCTAAAAAAGCCCTTCCCTGACACATGTTTGGGATGTAACACCTTTTAAAACCTTCTGGACCTTTTGTGAGTAAAGCTGTAACATTATCTTTCAGTGTGAAACCAGCAAATCACACGTCTGTCAACATGTTAAGACATCCAGGCTTCAGAAACAGTTTCCGCCAGCGGAGGCAGTTTTACACCTTTCTTTGGCTCAGTATGTGCAAGGTTGCGGGGTAGACTTAATGTTTCACTGTTTGTTTCAAGTTGAACACATACAGAGTGGAAAACATATTCCCTCCCTGCTTCAGCTGTTTTCAATAAACAAAATGTTTTCTTTTGATCCCGTTCCACCTTCTAATGTTCAGCCAGATACTTTGGCTGGAGATTACAACAACCAATCCTCACACACTCACACTCACATGGCCACATACATACACAGAGTCATGCATATGTAAAGGCAATCTGTATAAGTGAGGGTATACATAGTGTCAATAAGCTAAAGGCAGCTACATACTGAAGAGTCCAGAGCCAATCCAAAGGAATATCGTTCCAGGGTTTAATCCGGGCATATCTGAATGGATCAATATCGTTATGTTTGTAATCAGCCAAAGATTGTTTGTTTGTGAGGGAAGAACTTCACTCTGTAACATTACTGTACAACCGTGCGTGGACTGAGTAGTTTCAACAAATCATATATATATAACATATAATAAGTCTTCTCTGTAGTAGATCACATCAATAAAACAATATTTTTGAAGCAGGCCCTTCAGTTTTTTGGGTGAAAAATAAAGTGTGTCAGAGTAAGTAGGCTACAGCTGTTATTTCAATGTGTCAGATACACATTTAATCTACCCAATATTAAAGGGGTCGGTTTGGAATCACGGCCAAAAACGCCTGAATCGGAAATCCCTTGGTTTCATGCAAACAACTGAACTTAAGAACTCTAGTTGAACATCCAACATGAGCTACAAAGACACAAAAATCTGTAAAATTATAAAAATCCATCAAGAATTATATATATATATATATATATATATATATATATATATATATATATATGCATTCACTTCTACCACAAGCTTTTGGACCACATGTGTCCGATTAATGTTTATTTCCCACATCATGTTCTTCTTGTCTTTACCCTTCTCCCAGGTGTATTAATTTGAAGTTGCAGAAGATATGGGAGGATATCTTCCTTTATGTGACAATATGAGCATAGACTACAACAAATGTCCCCCCAGAGTCTACAATTTGGAGTTATGTGACCTGTTGTGTATCATCAGTATACAGACATTTGCTTGCAGTTTTTTTAAACATAATTTTGTAAAACTTCCTTCCTTCCTCAACTGCCTTTGCACAACATCATGCATGGTATAAAACATCTGAAATGCTCCTTTTATCATGTATGAGTTACTTTTTTGATCTCTTCATTTATTTCACTCTCTCTCCTCACACTTGTGCTTTCTGTTTAATTTTCTGCCTCTTTTCTTCATTGTTTCTTTTCATTCACCTCTCTTTTGATCTACAGGGGGGAAATGGTTCAACAGTGTGCTACATTTCACACATTCACTGGCAGGGTACCCCAGTGTGAGTGTGTGTGTGTGTGTGTGTGTGTGTGTGTGTGTGTGTGTGTGTGTGTGTGTGTGTGTGTATTTGTATAACCTCCTTTTGTATTTACGTTAAGGTCTGTAGAGAAAAGGCAGCAATTGGACATGAGCACGCTCAGAAATATGACTCCCAACAGTCCAGTGTGTGGGTGTGTATGTGTGCTTAAATGTGTGTGTTTGTATGTGTGAGTGTGTCCAGGAGGCCAGTGTTTTCCTAAAGGGTCATGTCCTTCCAGGTTTTAATATAGAGACACTGGATATGTGGACAGAACCTCTGTGTGTGTGCATGTGTTAGGGCTGGTATGTGTATGTGTGTGTGAGGGAGAGAGAGAAATGTTTCTGTGTCAGCTCTTACTGACCGCTGGTTGTTGCAGCATCAGGGCCAAAACCAGCCTGATGTGAGTTTGTGTATCTGACAAACCCAGTAAACCACTGTTAGTCCTCTAAAACTGACTACGGTCACAGTTTCAGGCTTTACACAGGCACAGCTCGCCTCATACTTGATCCAGCCTTGAGCAGGAGCTAAAGTGAACAGTATCAGGGTTTATTTTGCAATAATGACCCGCGCTCTGTACATGATCCTGCTTATTACATTGCTACTTATTATAGAAATAGGGTTTGAAAATGATTTCATTGCTTTGGCTAAAACATTAGTATGGGACTAATACTGATGTGGACGTTTCTGTTCTCACTCATCTCTATGTTTCCTTCATGTCAGGGCTTTGCAGTTCCTCCAGATTCTATGATCTGAACTGGGTCCAGAGCAATGGTCTGTTATTCACTATTCAGAAATGACGGACAATAGAAAGTCGTAATGAACCAATCAGAATTGAATATTCAACAAAGCTGTGTAAGTGTACGTTTTACAATATGTTTTGCAGACTGGAAGAAGAGACATTATTCAGTTAAACCTCGGTCTCAAGAG